TTAGATTTTTTGTTTGAATCTATTCGATGATATTATTATAAACCATTGAGCTAAAAGGGAATTTTGTTTGATTAAAAAAGGGAGTTTCTTTAAGGTTTCCTCGTCTAGTGCGTGTACGGGAAGACAAGAAGCCAAAGGAAGCAACATCATCTGAACAGGTGAATTCTCATATCCTAACCAGAGTCATATGGATGCAATACTATTAAAGACAAAAGGCTATAGGCTTGGCTTTCCGTTTTCTAATATCCGGTTTTCGCTGCGTATTTTCAGATTGCTGAGATGTTCAAAGCTTAGAGAAGCAATTAATCAAGCTTAAGGTCACGACGATGATTGAACAACTGTAATTGGTCTCAGAGCATATTTTTCCTAGATAGTTATAGAGAAAGATAGCAAATTTTCCTCGTCTAGTCGAGCCTCATGTTTCCACAGTACAGTTGTATCAACATGATACCAATTCTCCCAGAAACAGTGGTAAACTACAATGAATGGAGGGAATATTTAATCTCAAGCTAGATAAGTAAAGTTTAAGACAAGAGAAAATCCCATATATACAAACTAGTATGACATACGTCGATAATAGCCCCAAGAGTGAGTAGAAGTAAGTTGAAATTGGTTTTCAGCTAAAAGGTTAAAATTGTAAACTCTCATAAACTGCAGCTTTTTCATTGCTTTGAATCTTTTATCTCTACTCATTGTCTCTTCCATTTCTGATACTTTGAATGGAAATGCCAAACACATTTTCAGTACCCTGAAAAAATATTTGAAGGGAACAAATCATACCAAGGAAACCAAATTTACTCGTTTAAAAACATATTTAACCATGTTAAAACTGAAAACTTACAATAAGTACGTCGCAACCTTCCTTACTGTCGATCAAGAGTTGACGCTTTGCAGGCTGGTGAATGAATGGTGCAAGAACTATTATATCTCTGCCTATTTTTTTCAGTACATGGTGCATACGTATGACTCTCTCTTCTGATATTTTTGCTTGTCAAAACAGAATCTTAAGACTAGCTCTAACATCCAACCCACTGTCTTCCAGCAATCGCATCACATTCTCATATGTCTCATTATCTAGAAAGCAAGCGATATGACGAAACCATTGTAGAGCACTATTAATGTTTCCTGGTCTACACTATTACGAATCTTGGGCACCATTTCTATCCGTTCTTCCATCTAAAGTACGCACCCAAAACGAAAAAAAAAAATTACTCGCAAGTTTTGTAACTTCAATTGCAAGCTTCCTGAAACCCTCAGGTGGAGATGCTTGCAAGAAAGCAGACCGGCAAAACATCTCTAGAGCTACCACCTCGTAGATAATCTCAATGCCGTGAGCGCTTTAGAAGTTTCTTATCATTTGTAATCACAATGATTCTGCTTCCACAACCAAAACAATTGGGCTTGACCTGCAAGGCCTCTAACACCACCTTATTATTATCATCCACATCATCAATAACGATAAGAACTTTCATCTCTTGTACCCTTTTTCCGACTACACTTGAATGATTATTGTTCTTCTTTTCTAATATCTGAGATAGAAAATTGTGTTTGCAAACGCAACTTTATGTTGTCGTAGTCCAGGTTGTTCCATCGTCTTGTCTTCTACCAAAACTTTATCTATGAAGGCGCTACTTTGGAATTGACAAGAAAGTTGATTAAACAGAGCTCTTGAAATGATGCTTTTACCATTCCCCGGGGGACCCCAAACCCTAAACTTCCTCTGATTCCAAGCACATCAATAACTTCATTTTTGCCACATGATCTTCGATTCCAACCACATCAGAGACCTCTGTTGTCTGTTTTCGTTGTCACTGAACTTGGAGAGTCATAGCAACTATCTTCGTTCAAAGAATCAGAGTTTGAAAAGATTAATACCACCTCAAGATGTTTCAGTTTTGATATGTTTGGAG